GAAAAAGGGAAACGGCTGGACGGCTGGGGGAGAAAACATCTTTGTCGGGTTTGCCAGTTGGCAGACAGCTTTTAATATATTTGACAAAGTTCGAGCTTTCAAGAACGCGAACCAAGCAGCCTCGTAAATCCTTGCCTCTTAGCGAGTATGCGCGAACACGCTTCTACGCCTACGGGCTAGCTGTGGCTCACCTTCGCGGATAAGTCTTCGTTTCTCCAAGTTTCTCTCTCGCGCGCGCGATCGCGTCCGGATACATTTTTACGAGCTCGCCCGAGAGACGGCCCATTATTCGTGTTCTTTCGCGACCTAACGCGGGGCTAACGCCGAAGGGCTGCCGCCCTACTCTCCTCTACGCATTAGTAACTTCATAACAACAAAAAATTACCAAGTAGCCGAGGTTTCTCTTCACTTTTTTCCCATCCTGCTCCGCCCCCCCCCCCCCACTTTCCCTCTCGTCCCTCTTTGCTTTAGTTAAAGAGAACGATCCAAGTTTTCCTGGATTACCGTCGATGACGTGATAATGTCAAACCCCAGCGGACACCATTATTTCAATGTTTGCTGCTGGAGTGGGAAGAAGTCTGGATCTAGTGGAAGACCTCGATAATGGGAGTCCTATTACTGTTCGAGGTCAGAGTTGGGGGCTACGTTGCCGCTTGGAAACGGCTGGAACGGGTCTGAACCTTCTAAAGTAGGCTCTGACATTATTATTGAATGTCTGGTTTTGACATTTGTATGCGATGCCTCGAGCACACTATATATATCTGGGAAATCTGCCCGGACAGCTTCTTCGCTGGCCATTCTCTAGTATTCAACCGGCTTCAACGTTGTAAAACATTGTTTATACGGCGTTCCACGTTGCAAATGTGTGTCGAAAAGTTAAACGATCACGAGAAACGAACACGAGCAAAAGAAAATGGAACCGTGGTATAGTTGCCCAACTGTTCCTACAAAACATCCCGTGCAGTGTGATTTAATAGCGAAAATCAGCCACGCTGAAGAGATACGTGTTCATTACAACTTCCTGCATTCGGAAAAACAAGGACATTTGTTATGCTTACTTCGTAGTATGTTATAATACATACACGTTTGCAAAAAAAAAAAACAGCTATGTCTCATCATTTGTATACGACACAATATACTCGACAACTTTAATTCGTTTTATCGAAATCGCAACTAAAATATGTTTATTGAAGTATGTCCTAAAATTCAATGTAACACAGATCTTTCAAAGTGTCTCTATGAAATATTTTTATACTTCGATTTATCCGATTAAAAATTAATACTAATTACGTGAAAATGTAGAATAATTGGTATATTTAAAAAAACATATATAAAGAATTATATAATATATAATTATATAATTTTTATAGGTGTTTCATGTTTTTTTTTAAGTCCTATAAAGAATTGTATTACTTATCTATTTTAAATTATTTTAACATTAATTAAACATGCACTGAAGCATAAACTAATAATTCTAAAAAGCAGTATCTTCTAGTAGTATAAACTTTCTTCTAAACGACTTTAATTCGTTTTCTTATTAAGTATCTATTTATGTGCTAATTTAAAGATAATCTGCCTAGCCATAAATCTATCTTAATTAAAATATATCTTAGCTTTACAACCTTAGCTATAAAAAAATCCTACTCAACTGAAAATCGACTTCCATCTGTCTAGTAAAAATCTGAAGATTTTTATTAACCTATTTAAATATTTACTTTTATAAGCCTACGTAAGTATCTAAAGGGGCAGAGGGGGAATATTAACATGAATGCACTCTTCAAAGAAACGTGTGTGCATTCCTATTGGTTCTGTACATGTTGATTCTTGGAATAATCTTGAATGCAAATTAATTCAAACAATCTGAAGATTTGTAAGTATTGGAAACTGCTGGATAACTACTTCTGTATAGCTTCCTTAGCAATCACATACTTCCACAATCTCAGTGGGACGAGTTTGGACATTTTACAAACACAACACTATGTAAAGAAACGCGAACATTAACTGAAGAAGTTAACATTAATTTTTAAAGTGAATAAAGACTATTATATCTATCTAAAACAAAAACAACTTTAACAATTCGCGATGGCCACAGATGTAATAATATTATAAAGTTGGTTAAAAGTTAACTTTTAAATTTCTAATTTAATTTTAAATAAAATAGAAGTTGACAATTGTCGGAATTCAAATAAAACAAAAGAAAAAAACACTCGTGATATGTTACAATTCGCAACACAAAATCAAACCCGACCATCATCAATCGCAATTCTAATATACAAATTGAAATAAATATTCTTTCTCTGTTCTAATTCTGTCTGAAACCGATGTTGATTTCTGATACCGAAATCAACATCCATTCGCAACTCTAATTCACAACACGAAATCTCGATTATTTTGTAACTTTAATCAAAACCGTAATTAACTCTAATAAAAAAAAAAAAAAAACGCGTTTTATCCAATGTGATGATGGATCGACATACACGTCGGTCAAAAGAAAAAAGGAAAAAAAATATTACTGCATGCTACAAATATTAAAAACGAGCATAGTGACAAAGCAGTAACAAAAATGACATCCCACGTTATGGATGGATTTCACATACAGAAAATGGGAAGCCATAAGTAGTTACCCTCTTGAGTGGCAATTTTGCTGGGCCTCTTCAGCTTATATGATAGCCTCTTCTTTCTTCGGGCACGATGCCCGCTGAAACTTAAACTTAAACTCAAGTCTTTCTAATCACAAAATAAAAAAAAAACAACTTTAAAAAGTTGCAGCATCGCAAAAGCTGATTCAATTGCATCTGGACGACCAATAGTGTTCACAATAGTGTCACGTATGCGTGCAATTTGTAAGCGTTTCGTTTCGAAACTCGCGGATATTCGGAAAATCTATGGACAAAACCAAACATGAGCGGAATGCTCCACTTGTGCCAAGTTTGCTGCAGATTTTTTAAATTAGATTTCCTGACACGCGACTAGAAACTGTGCCAACCTACCCGGCTCTATCTACTTATAATTAAACAGACACACCAGAAAGTATGCTACCTATCCTATCCAGGACAGGATAGGCCCCCTCCTGCTATATTTAAAAAAGAAATAGTAAAAACCAGGCATACTAACACACTCACTCCGCGGTTCTCTCACATAGACCTGGGCGCAGACCTACACTAGAGAGAACGTCCCGGGACGTCTCCGACACCCAAGTGTCGCACACAAGTTTCACACTCTAATTTACGTATCAGTTTCGTGAAATCGACCACGAGGGACCATTGCGTAAAAAGTACATATATATTCCAATTTTAATTAAATACATTTCAAATTCAAGCTTAATACTTTTCATTGTAGTATTATTTAGAAAATGTACAATTATGGTATTCATAATTTTCGTATATTATGACTGTATCAATAAGTAGTTATAAAATTTATCAACGTTTCCATTTTTAATTTGATATTTTTCAATATTATATCGTTTATGAAATTAATAATACTGCCATTCACAATTTTCGTATATTGCGATTGTTTTAAATATTATTGTGAAATTCATCAATATTTCAAAATTATACTGCTTGAAACAATAAGAAAAAAGACGCAATTCCATAATCTAATAAATACGCACCCATACAATATGGAAAATACGTCGTGCACGATATCCAATACATCGCTGAGAAATTAGTAAACTTACAAATTATGGTCATCATGCCTGTTACCATTTTCCCACTCAAGTAGCACCTGAGCACGTGAGTGAGGTCTTGGCAATAAACATGGAAAGAATTAAATCTGAAAATCCTGAGTTAAAAAAACAATTAATATATATCTCTTCTTTTTATCTAACGGATTAATATTTCTTGATATTGCATTTCTCATTTTATTTAAATTTTTAATTAATCTCTCATATGTATAATTTATTGAAATGAATTTGAGTGAAGAAAGATAATAAATATATTTACTGAAAGAAAAATTAAGGTAAATAATATAAAATTCAATGAACAGTAATAGAGGTGAATATTGAAGTAAACTATTGATAAAAATATCCTCAAGTGATCTCTTTATCAAAGCTAATTTTGAAAAATAGCGTTTTAAAAATCGAAAAATAGCGTTTAAAACTGTCGCTTTAATTCTGAAATCTACCTGCCACGAAATGTCTTCTTGCACAAAATTTGATATATTTCAAGTTCTATTAAATATAAAAATTAAATAAAAAAAAGTAATTCTACAGTATGATATGAGATAAAATTATGTATTATTTACAATAATACAAGAATTATAATACGTATCATCTTTAGAATTGTAATAATTTCAATTAAAATTGCCGATTTCTCTATTACAAAATACTCAAACAAAATAATTGTAACATTCCACCATTTATTCCAATAATCATACTATATATTCGTATGAATATTTTATCTTTGCAAACGATTATATTAAATATATATCGATTTTATAAATAATTATACCGATTTCTAATTTTCATTCACGCGTTAAATTATGCATCACTTTAAGTATTCAAAAAACACGATGTGCAAGAAAACCTATCCTGAACTGTAGCACAAACAAGAAAATGTTACTGCTCGTGAGTATAGTAAATACTCGCGGTCACTATGCTCGTCAAAAGTTTTATATAATACAACTAGCCATTCGTGTCGATTCGGACCTTTCATCCTACGACATGATTGAGTAACTAGAGGAACAAAAATGCTTGTGACTCACAATTAGATGCGAAAAGCAGTTATCAATGAGTGTAGTCCAGCAGAAGTTATCGTGATGTTCATTAGACTGAAATCGTTGATTGTAATTATGAAGAAAAAAGTGAAGAATGAAACCTGTAATAAAAGCATAAACTATTACAACTTGTTCTTAAAGGTAGGGTTAATTATTTGAAAAGTTTGAAATAATGAAACACTGATCTCTCTCAAACATAAAATTTTAATAATAATTCTATCTTTTAATTAATAATAATTAACGCAAAATATAAGGAATGAAATTAAATGTAGTACTTACATTCTTGGCACTATAGAGTTCTTCCCATGGAACAGAAAAAAATTGAAGTTGCAAAAACCTTTATCAAAACATGCGAAATCTTATAATTTGTTTTTAAAAGCATATTTAAGAAATTCAAGAAATACTACTTTTTCAAAATCATTGCAATTATTATTATTAACTTATCACAAATAAAGAAATGAAAAATGTGAAATATTTAATCAATATTAATATATAAAGAATGTTTACGTATTGCAAAATACTTTCTACTACTGTAAAATATCCATGAATATATCGTGATATAATTGATTTGGAAAAATTATGCTCTGAATATGCTATGAATGTACGTCATGAAAATTTCAAACATGGCTCCCTTCTTTTGTCAGTTAAACAGAACTGCACAATATGGAAATACGATGCGCAGAACGTAAACTCATTTCTTCCCGGAAATAATATAAATTATTGAAAAATGTGAAATACCAACAGTATTATTGAAATTTATAAAATACAGCAAAATGTAAAATCTGCATTTCACAGTCTTAATTTTTGTTATATTACGCATTAATTTCGTTAATGCTATGAATTATTTGTTAGAAACACATATCGATTGAATACGAAAACAAATATTGCCAATTATCCAATAAAAAGAGGAAATAAACGTACAAGTATGTCTGTCTTCATTAAAATAAATGAAATTTCACCATATCTCCACAAAAAGTTGTCGCATTTATCGTTAATCATTCTGATGTCCTTTTGATATTCATGGCGTCCCCTTAATGCTTCGACGTTTCACAATCAACCAAGAATCTATACAAAAAAAACAAAAAAACTTCCAATAACACGTATAAATGAAACAATTTACATGAAAATGAAACAACAATCAAGATTAAATGACATTTTGAAACAGTAATACTTGTACATGTAACAATGCATATATTTATACATAATACAAATTACCGGTAAATGTAACATAACCAAGAAGACGATCAAGAATACGAAAGTAACTTAAAATGCAATAAACTATTAAAAGTAAAAACGTACATTAGTCAAATAAAGTTGACAGTAGTGTGAATATAAATGATGAAAAGATGGCGATGAAAGTATTACGCAATTAATAAACGTTGGACGAGATGACACATCTCAACGCCACGATTGTCAACCGTAGAATAATTCCCCGCGCAGCAAGTTCGCGTCGTGACTAATTTGATGAGGTGGGGGCGCAACTAGGATTCGGTTGATTTCATCAAAAAATGAGGTATGTATTCTATGAATATATTTTCAACAGCGAGCGTATTATATATGCATGTGTATATATATTTGAACGAATTGAATTGATTAAATTAATAAAATATAAAACGTAATGAACATTTTAATACAGAATGTAATTACATTTTTTAATGAAAATGTCTGTAATATCATTATGCAATGTCAATTTTAGAAAAATATTCGACAGTAGAAGAACAAGCTCTATTGATTGTAATTTCTGCCTGACAGCTTCTTTTGAAACTTGCAATTAATTTAAGCGAATTTATTTAATTTATCTGATTTGGTAGTGCATAATGCATAAGTAATGCTTCTTCATATTCAAATAAGTAATTTTTCTGCTCAAAGTAAAAATTCAAACAAATTTTTCTATCGTAGGTACTGCTCGATATCACCGTTTGCTTGTTTTACAATAAATAATGATTAATAATTTCACGAAGCGAATAAATCAAAATTCCCATAATTCCTGGCTCTTCTCTTTATCTTCAAATCTGTGGAACAGTTAAGATCCTCAAGTTCAGATGGAAGCACTTTCCCCAAGAGTGGTTTCCTGACTTCGCTGTAAGATGACACTAGTATGTCATTCTGGACTGTAAGGATAAAGTAGAGACAAAAATTGTATAGATAAAATGGTGGGCTTTAACGACTTTGAAATGGCGAAAAACATTAAAAAGTTCCCTCTGAACTATGGAACAGAGAAAACCAATAGAGGAAATGCAATTTCCTGTTGAATTAATACTCATCTTAAATTGATCGATTTAATTTTCTAACAATCTTGCTTGCTTCGTTTAACAATTTACGTTCCACACTAAATTGTTCATTACCATGAGTGAATACGTCGTCATGGGATAGAGCGTATTTTGCTACGTTCAAAGCACAATCGGAAATTTATCCTGCGAACAAGCTAGTTCGCGGTATTTACAATTAATTCTTAGCGGAATCGTCGATCAACACGAATTCACTGTAATTAATTATGATAATATTATTGATTTCAGGTTCCCGTGGTCGCGTTAATATCGTTATTGTCGGCATTCGAGCGACCATGGCTAACGGTGAATTTCTGCGGGCTGGAAACCAACGGCCACCGCAATATCGTTTATCGATTAAACTACTATAGTACGATACTAACAATAAGTATCACGGGCGAGAAGCGGCTTCAATTTTCACGTGATTCTACCAAATTCGCGTCCCCTCGTTGCGAGACAAATGAATACACAGCCCGACGACTGGCTGAATTTATGCCCGTCGCGCTAACTAACTCTAAATTTTCATAGTGTACCTAAGATGAGAGTGGGAGAGACGCAAGGTATGCCGCCTTAATAAAAATTACGACGAGCTAAATTGATTTGCAAGAATTTATTTGGAACCGGTGGTGAATAGCAGGCGAACAGCGACTGGTTCGTTTCGCATTCAACCCGTGCCAGGGAGCACGCCTATACTCGCATCATCAATTTCACCGTTGCGCCTCGATGTTCTGCTGCCTTGTCGGGGATCAGCGCCCTGCCTGCAGATGCAATTCGCTCCAGGGTACAATCAATGCGATACCGTTGCAAATTCCGTGGCTGACAGAGTCGAAGGCGGTAAACGGACAAGGTTGCTCGACCAAGCCTGCCATCTACTTCGCTCAACATCAGGAAACAAGGCAGACTTGTTCTCCTACAGAAGACAAAAAATCGCTTTTATCTTATTTTTCGATTGTTTTTTCTCGTTCACTCTCACACGCACTTACACACACTCTCTCTTTCTCTCTTTCTCCTCTTCCTGATTTCTCTGTCTATTTCGAACGACAATTCTATTTACGGAATCGTTTCTGTCTGTTTGCAGCTTCCGTCTTTCCGTCTTCTCCGCTGCGCTCCTCCGTCTCTTTCTCGCTCGTTCGCTCTTTTACGTTGCCTCGTTTAATGCACTTCTATAGGAAATTACAAGTGAAAACGTTTCGTTAGCAGCGTCTATTTTCCAGCGTCGCTTTTTTGTCCCCCTTGTCTCGCCTCGTTTTTCCTGTTCGCAGCGCGTAAATCGTTAGCGAGCTCGTTAACTTCGTACGATATTTATCGAGGCAGCCTGGCCCGCGATAATGGAATCCCATTGTCTACTTACGAGCGCATTACCCCCGTCGACCGATTGCCTCTCGTTGACACCGTTTCTTTCTCGGCCGATCAATCCGCTATGCTAGCTCGAATATATACACGCATACACATATACAATAATTCGTTCGTCGCGCCGATCTTTCTTTCACATCGGCTCCTCTTTCGTCAAAAGACACTACCTTCCCTCGAAACGAGTTCCTCTTCAAAGTGTTGCTCAAAGTGTCGTCTGTCTCTGAATCGAATAGATTCAAACTCCAGTTTAAAACCGAGTAACAAACTTCCCCCCGCAAAGAAATTAATTTGTCTCGCACAAATCCGAGAAATTACTCGACCGAATAAATTCTCATCCCCTTTTCTTCAGCGTGGAACGTTGTTTCTCTTGGTGCCGAGATTCGAGCATCGATTCCATACCGCGGTTTAGCGTATCGGTTATCGAGTTTTTTTTTTTACGTAGCTCATCGATTTGACCAAACCAGATAGATCCACAGGACGTTCCGAACATTCCGAATCGCCCTTTGACCAAGACAAACGTAACCCCTTTGAACGATCGAATCTGACGTGAATCGCACATGTTAATATTTGCCCGCGTTAATACCATTCGAATCTACATCGAGAAGAACGCTCACATAGACGCGGCACCACTCGCGAATGCTTTGATTCGCGTTACTTTGCGAAATCAGGTTGCACAAAACTGACATGATAATTTCTTCAGTGTTTCTTCACGTGCTTTCCTCCTCTTCGTAAAATTTAATTTATTGCGATTTCACTTGAAATTTAGGTCATGAAGTGAATTATAGAAAGCTGAGGTGAAATTAGGGAAATTGGTTTTTCAATTTGCAGCCCAGCATAACTCGGACCAAGTGGCTTTAGTGGATAAATGTCTTAACATCTGGAAGAGAATCACGTGTTTCAACCGATTTGAACAATGGGACATTGTCCAGCAACCTCACTTCAAGAAAATCACATTCAGGACGCAGTGGAAGGGAAAATCAGAAGGATCCTTTTCTAAAAAAAAACAGACTGAGGAACCAGTTGTGGAACACCGAAAAGTTAAAGTAGCAAATAAAATTGAGTTATCAAATAAAGTATTTCCTATGTTATACAGGGTGTTTCCTGTAACACGACGCATGATTTTTCTCCTACTTACAGCCGTCTGACAAAAAAAATTTAGAACAAAAGTTGAACGGTTCAGGGTGTGCAGTAGGTATCACTAAAAAAAAAAATTTCGAAAACTATTTGTTTTCATAGCTAAATCAAGGTCACTTTCGATGAAACAAATAGTCACACATAATTTTTTTTCCACTGTATTGAAGAGAACATCAAGACGAATTCAAAACACATATTATATGATATTATATATTATATGATATTTTTATTAACGTATTACTCCATTTACAGTAGTGAAAATGTGAACATTTAGGTTACTTTAACTTCTCGTCGTATTTGATTCTAAGACAGTGTAAACATAGTTGACCTCAGATTACTGAATGTAAACATAGGACTAGAATTTATTTGCAGTGTGTCATTGCGGTTCCTTCGTTTCATATTTCCAATATTTAGTGCAAACTAATCGCTTGCAACAATGTGTTCTTTTTCTAATTTCGAGAGAGTTGAAATGCTGTTGATTTTTGGCGAATGCAAGAGAAATTCTTGGAAAGCTACTAAAGTGTACAGAGATAAATTTCCGCAACGAAAGCAACCTTCGAAAGCAACGATTTCCACTACTGTAAATGGAGTAACATGTTAAAAAAAATATCATATAATATGTGTTTTGAATTCGTCTCGATGTTCTCTACAATACGGTGGAAAAAAAATTATTTGTTCCTATTTGTTTCATTCAAAGTGACCTTGATTTAGCTATGAAAACAAACAGTTTTCGAAATTTTTCTTATTGATACCAACTGTACACTTTGTACCGTTCAACTTTTATTCTAAACTTTTTTTTTGTCAGATGACTGTAAGTGAGAGAAAAATCGTGCGTCGCGTTACAGGAAACACCCTGTATATGCCAGAGAAAAGATTATTACAGTACGAACGTATACCATGCAGAACATAATTAATTCCTCTTTTTATATCCGAACACAATACCGTTTAATTTTCATTTAAAATCGTTTAACGCCAATCGTAGATGAATTAACGTTGAGCTTCGATCCGAAGACTACCAATTTGCAATATCGACACGTTTAAATAAGCGCGATATCGATGAAAACGGCGGAATCAACGTCGACTTTCAAATTCATGAAACAATTCGAAATCCTGAAAATTCTATTAAAAATGTTGTTTACAGTAACTGCGCCGGGTTATGTTTTTCCTGTTCGTCGGCAGCGATCTAAAAATTATTTTCGATTTCACGTTTGTTAAAAATAAAAGCAAAGGAAAAATATATACGAGCGAAAAAAAAAAATAAACGAATGGAGAAGCGTGGAACGAAACGTTATTTTCAATTCGTGCGTGTAAATTTCAAGGCTCATAGCTGGCAATTAAAACCATAAACGCGATTTCACGCGCAAGGATCGTTCGTCGTTCGATGTAGCAATATTTCCCCCCGTTGTAATCGCGAATTTCGTGATAATCACGCCGACGATGAATGAATTAACGGCATCATAACTCACCGATTACGCTCGATGACGATTAACTGAATACGGAACGACGCTACGTTTTCAACTACACTGTTACGGTCATGAACCATTTCTCGTGCAACAAGCTTTCGTATCGTTGACCGGGAAAAGAATGAATGCAAGTCAGGCGTTCGATAAGACGCATGGCCGCGAGAGAAACTTTCAAAGCAGTTATTCGAAAACCGATAAATAGTCGCAGCGTAATTCTGCCGGATTTCTTCAAACTTAGTTGCACCCACGGCGA